ATAAAAACAATAATAACAATAATAGTCACAATAATAATATTATTAGCAGAAATGTTAATAAAAATAAAAATATAAATAATAATAAAATAATATTATCAAATTGGATATCAAATAATATTAGCTTTGGAGTCCCGTGGATGTCTTCGTGACAAGTCACTAAACTTTCTTGTTGAAGTGTGGTTACAATTATTAAATGTTATTCATAGAAAATGCGGTGATCTGTCGGCTCAAACGGTCTAATTCAATTAGATACGGGGGTATTTGTTTTTTTTTTTTTAAATTGTTTATTTTACTATGTAATTTATTTGAAATAACCAATAAAAAATAACATTACGATGACATCGAAAAAAAAAAAAAAAATATTTAACATAATTTTTATTAGTATCAGTGCAACCAATAAAATTATTCACCTCTATAAATGCACTCTCTCATCCATTCCCAAGGGAGTGAGTGCACTTATGGAGGGTTCACTGTATGTTAATGTTTTAAGTAAAATGATCGGTAGGGATTTTTACGTGTCGAAATACAGTATATTAATTATGATATAAATTTTTTATTATAAATTCACATACATATATATAGTAAAAAGAAATCTATATAAAAATCTAAATAGAAAAAATATACGAAAAAACTTAATTTTCATAAAAATCATAAAAAGAAATTTTTTTTTAAAAACTAAAATAATATACATCGGTTTATATATATATATATATATATACATTAATTAATATCTTATTAAGTATATTATATTCTTTAATTCTTAATTGAATTACTTAAATAATTAATCGAATGGATTAATTATTGAAAAATAAAATTATTGATTTGAGGATCGTCTATTATTAAATCATATAAATTGTGGTCGTCGTAGTTGTTGTTGTTGTTAATATTGTTATTATAATTATAATTATGTATATTTATATCGATAGTATTAATATCGTTTAAATTATTATTAATAATGTTGGTATTATCGATATTGTTATTTATATCATTATTATCATTATTGAAAATTAGAAATTCGTCTAAAGAATTATTATCTTTTAAATTTGTTAATTGAGGGAACGGAATAGGATTAGGTATTGAGACTAATGGAGATTCAGGCATCGACCATATTATTGGAGAAGATTGAGTTGAGAAACCATTAGATGTTGAATAAGAAATTAAAGAAAGCGTCGGCGATGGAGGTAAGGAATTAGAATTAATCAGTTCGTTGTTGTTGATGTCGTTGGATACGAAATTAAAAGGATTTAAAATTGGATCGTTATTATTATATAGAAAGTGGGAACCAAAGATATCTAAACCTAATCCTTGAGTGATAGAAATGTCGCCCTTTTGTAAATTATTATTATTAATATCATTTAAAAATAAACCAAGGTTTAAATTTAAATCGACTAGATCATTATAATTCAAACTACTTACTATTTTATTGTTATTAGTGTAGTCGATATTAGAGATGTCCGAAGGAGAAGACAATATTCCGGAAGGAAAAGAAGGTGTTGGTGTTGATGTTGATGTTGGTGTTGGTGTTGGTGTTGGGGAACTTTGCAACAAATCAACATCAACATTAATATTAATATCAACATTGCTATTAATATTTTTCGTATTTTCTTTTTCGTATTTTTCTAAACGAGCTTTATTGTAAAGATTTTCAGTTTCTCTTGCAAGTTTTCTGTATTCAGTCTTGATTTTTAATGTTTCTAGATTCCAAGATTCCGATGCGATTGTGGAAACTTTGGTCATCTTAACACGACAATTATTTTCTTTAAGTTCCTTGACTAAAGCAGCACGATAAATGAAAAATTCATTTGGAACTTTTGGTGATTTTGATTTATGATTAATCAATTTAGCAACTAATTCTTTTGGATCAATTTTTGGTGGAAAACTTGGACGTTTAATCTTGAATTCAATAGTCTCCTTCTCGTTATTGTTATAGTCGTTGTTGGCTGTCATTTTTTATTTCGTTTTTAGTAAAAATAAATAATTTATTTGACGATAAATAAAATATTTTATTTGGTTGGTTTTTTTTTTTAAGAAAGAGAGAAAGAGAATAAAAGATGAAATTAAAAAATCAAATAACTTTGTTCGTCCTGTATTTATAGAAATTCTTGGAATTAAAATTAGACTGCGGTTCTGTTATTCCGTAGCGGAGATTTTTCTTTTTATGCAAGCATTGAATTATTTTCCGAAATTTTTCGAATAGAATATTATATATCCCGCAGTTTGCGTTGCCTAATTAGTAAAAGTGATTTAATTGTACGCAGCTACAAAAGACGTATTTTGAAACAACTGGGCGTGATTTTTAAAAAGGATAATTTTAGTAAATTCGTATTACGATTTTTTTTTATTACACAAAAAATAAATAACCAACCTCTCAACTAATAAATAATTACAAGCTCTGCGTAGACAGCCTACAATGAAGCATATTATAGATGCCTATCAATGGTTGATTTGTAAGATGTAGACCTAAAGGTCACTGAGGGAGGGCCCTTGATTTTGTTTGATGCGTCCACAACATTTATACGTTTTATAAAGTGCAGACGACCACCTTGCACCAAGGATGCTCGCGGGATTTATGGAGCAAATGCAGATGCAACCAGGTTAACGTTTGTCTTGCAGTTTTAGATGATTAGATTTTTATGAAGCCATTATCATTTTGTGTTTTAAACTCTGGGGCAAAACTATACGATGACCATTTTGCAAATTTTTGATGGCATTCATCTGTAAGATTATGAATTTTCTTGTGAATCCGGAGCATACGTTGACAGGGCTTAATCTTTTGCATTTATTTGCTTTGCCCTTGAATAGAAAGGACTCACCACTTGAGTTATATCCAGTCATAAAATTTCTCAAAGAGCATGATGCTAGCACTTTTATTTTATCCTCTTCAACCACAGAAATTTAGGACCTTGGTTATCAGCCTGAATTTCAACTAGTTTAGAATTAATTTTAAAGAATTTTTTTGCAGCAATATTTGATAATTTACTCCAATACTAGAATGGATGCCAAGAACCCATTTGATGTTAGTGTAAAATTTTTAGATTTATTTATATGGTTTTCACTTGATCATTGTTTTTCATATCAATATTAACTACTTCCAAACATTTAATATGGTTTGTATTTCCTCCAAATTAAGATAAGGTTTGACTTTAAGAGCTTTCCCGGTGTGAGGTTTTCAGAAGAAGATGAAGCCAGAGATACATTGAGACCCTCCATGTGCAATCTGGTAAAAGAGAATATTAATTAGGCGCTGGATTAGTTGATCCAACTGTAGCCCATGATCCAAGAACTAGGCTTTTTAATGAGTCATCCAATTTACCTGGGCAGTGATTACTGGTGGTTTTTAAGGAACTCATCCCAAATGGCTTTTTTTTTTAATTTTTTAATTTTTTAATTTTTTTGTGTAATTTAAAAAAAAATTTTATTTTCTGGTGTGATAATTATCTACCCGTGATATATTCAACGGCCCTGCGTCGTACGCAGCGAAATAAATTTATAATAACGCAGTATAAAATAAAATCGGAAATCCGGAATTAATTTATTCAGAGAAATGTGACTAACATGGACTAACATTTAATCTTATTTATTATTTTATAATAATTATGTAAGGAAATAACGCACAAGTAAAAAAGAAAGAACTAATATACAATTTTCTAATTATAAAAAAATTATTTCTAAAATAAATAAACAATAATACCCAATACATACAATGTAAAATACATAAACGATTATTATTATTTAGTAGAAATTCGAATTTCATCAACATCGATTCTATCATTATCTTGTTGTTGTTGTTGCAAATCCTTATCTTCTTGGCCATCATTTCTTCTGTCTCTTCTATCATTATTACTATAAAAATTTTGGTTCAACTGAAATCTTCTGTAAACTCCATCGAAATACCAACAAATGATCCCGATAAAAATCACTACAATGCTTACCAAGTATGGTATATAGTAAGGATATGAATCTTTGGTATTTAACGGACAATTTAAATCCGAAGTTGTTGATGGCAAAGTTGTATTACTAATTGAATTATTATAATTTTCTGAGTAATATTGTGTATCTGGTGTAAAGAATGGTGCGGCCACAATAAACATCCCCGCCATAATAAACATATATATCAGTGGTGTAGAAACCTTGTATAAATTGTAACCATCTCCGTCGAGTTTTCTAAGAACCTAATTAAAATATTTGTTACACAAAATGATGTAATGTTATGCGTTATTTTAATTAAAAAATAAACACATGCACGCACAAAAATCACTAATACTAACAAATAATCCAATTGCGCTTAGCGTGTAATAAATCCAAGAACTATGCATTGACATGTTTATTAAAAATTTAAATGGATCATCCCCAAAAAAAAATAGTATAATCACGCTACACCAAATATACTGTGCTCCTAAAGCATAGACCGGTGTATTGTATGTAGGATGCCATTGTTTTAATAAGTGTGAAAATACTGGGATGTAATTATGTTTGGCTGCTGCTACAATTACACGTGATCCACTATATAAATATTACCCAATAAGTAAATATTCGTTGTTATTTTTTAGGAAAAAAAAAAAAAAAAAAGAACTTTTGAATTTTTGAATTAATGTTTACCTCCATATTAACACTGCCATAACACCTAGTGCAGAAATACTGATCAAAAATGCCAAGATTCTTCCGAATATTTCTCCACCGACAATCATGGCGAATTGCCCTGCAATTACCTAAATAGGCGAATAAACAAATATAATTGAATTAGCTATATATATATATATATATGTATATATATATATATCAGATATTAATTACTTCATTTGGATTTTGTTCTGGGCGAATCACAAGTTCTCTCGGTACGACGGAAATATATGCAATATTTGTAAAGATATCTGATTTGCATAAATGGAAATAATTATGTTAATTAATAATACACATGTATGTATGTATATACGATATTTATTTGATACTTTACACAATATACCGACAATGATCACACTATAACGGTTACTGTTCATAAGTTTGTTTTCAGGGGCTTTAAGCTCATCGATCGAGTCTATAAAATAATTGTATTGATAAATTTGAAGTTAGTCGCAGAATTTCCACGATATATATATTAAACTTTGATTTATTTAAAAAAAAACTTACAATTAAGATTGTTATACCCGTTATAGGCAAACAAAACCTAATATAAATATCATAAAATAATTTAATTATTGATATTAAAATAAAAATTAAAATAAAATAAAACTTACACCGATCATAGCCAATGCAAGTGAATGTGGAGTTAGCTGAGTTTCATCAAATAAATGGTTCCAATTGTCTTTATTTATAGAGGAATTCAGTTTAATCAAGCCGATCAACGAGACGGCAATTAATGTACAGGTTTTGATTATTGTTAAACATTTATTGATGTTGTTGGCCAGCCGGTTAGAGTACATATGATACAAAGTCACAAAAGTGACACTTGCCAATGAAATCAATCGAATTCGCCAAAACTCCCATCCGGTTAAGTATGATTTTGGATGAAGCGATGATTCGATACAGTCATGGTTTGAAAACGCATAAACAATATACTGGGAGAATATATTGGAGTCAGCAATAATTGTCCCGGGACGGATAACCATCATCATGGCGAGACTGAAAATGTAGGAGAGCAGATACCGGGGGTATCTGAATGCTTCCATTAGGTACACGACTTCTCCTCCGCCTCTTTTTACTCTAAGACCGAGTTCAGCATATACCAGACTCCCGAATAGGCTGATGAACCCACCGAGAATCCATAAAATTAAAGATAATCCGACAGATCGTGTTTCCTCCCATACTATCCCCGGAGTGCTATATATTCCCTATAGATATATATAAAGTTAATGAATTGATTATTAGAATTAAAAAACAATTCCTTCCTTTTTTATTTGTTTACTGACCACGCCGATGATATTATTAATGTTAATCAATAAACCAGACATAGAATCTAGAATTCTTTTGTCTTCTCTATCTACACTATCATCAGAAATGGTAGAATCTAAATCTTGACTTTCCACTTTGTCCATTTTTAATTTTTATTATCTTTCGAATTATAATTTAAAATTATCGTTTATATTATAAAAGTTTTCGTTTTCTTTAAGAAATAAAATTTTGAATCAGAGGAAAAGTAACGACTTTATAAACGATTTTTTATTGAAAGATATTTAGAAATCACATCTAAAAATAAAAATAAAATAAATCTAAAAATACATAAAATACATATTCATTGTTCATCTATATAAAGAAAAAAAATAATAGTGATCTTTAAAGTTTTTTGTTTTTAAAAAATAGATTTTTTTGATTATCGATTTAAAAAAATAATGAGACTTTATTTCGCTAAACAATGAATGATTTTCCAAATATGGTCGAACAATAAAATAGATAATTATCATAGGCCAAAATGTTTAAAGCAAAAAATTTTTAAAAAAGCATCACATATAAATTTCCTAAAACAATAATAATAATAAATCAGAATTATCTATTTCGATGATCGACATAGAATTTTACCGAAACTATACTGAAATAACAATACTAATATGTTAATATTATAATGAGCTAGAACTTTCTGTAAAGTTGTTCCATAAGAAGGATATTCCTGTGAAAACGCAAAAGCCATTTTTATATATTAATATGAAAAAAAATTGTCTCAAAATATCATGTGATGCGGAATTATTTTTGGGTTGATCATGTGACTTTTAGTGAATTCAAGGTATGACGCAGTACTTGTAAAAAAAATTTTTTTTACAAATACTCTTAGTTCTTTTGATCATTTATAATCATTAATTGCTTATAGTAACAATTGGTTAGCTTCAAAACTTATCGGCTAGATTTTTCTTAAACTAAAAATTGGCTGAGCCTTAGCAATTTGAAAAATTCCCCAAATTTTGTTGAGACTATATAGTATTTTTTACAATATATATATATATTAATATATTGATTTGTTTGTATTATTTATTTCCTTTTTATTAATAAATAAAAATTCTTTACAATAAATAAAAAAGTTTAACGAACATATTAATTACATCAAAAGAAGACCATTGCCAAGTTTGGTCATGTGATTCAAAATTATTGTATATACAGTACAGTAAGTATAACACGAAAATTATTATCGCAAACTCTAGACAAATTTTTTTTACATGAATTGACTCCTTTTTTTAGAGTTGAATTGAACGGTGGTGTTTTTTCAAAATTTTTTAATATTAACTTTTGAGTATAGACGATCCGCAAAAACAATTAAATAAATGAAAAAAAATTTTAAATGCCTCCAGCTAATCCCATTTGGACTCATTTCAATAAATTTGGTCGAGTTAAAGACACTTGCTTGCAAGTGATTGCTAACATTGCCGTAAATAACTGTTGGTAGCTACCATTTGCCATAAATAGTTACTGCTGCCACAAATAGATACGGCTGCCGCAAATAACTACGGCTGCCGCAAATAGTTTTCAAGATTAATGTAATTATTGTCATTAGTATTATTAGTCATATTAGTCATGAGAAAATTTCCTTGAATTATTTGTGATCTGCAGTAATTTTTTAAATTGTAATTGATGAATTCAATTGGTCGGTCGTTCATTTACGGTGAAATATGTGTGAAAATAAAAATTGCAATTATCTGCGGCAGCCGCATCTATTTATAATGGTAACTACCAGGGTTAACTACCCTATGGTAGTTACATTGCCGCAAATAACCAATTATGGCAATGTCTTTAATTGGAATAGTGAATCTAGTCAAATTTCATAGACATTTTTTTAAAAAAAATAAACCTAAAAATATATAAAAATACGATGCAGAAGCCCTATAATATGAACTTGAAGATTTTAAATATAATGCAATTCACACACCAGAATTTTGAAAAAATACCACCTCAAATAAAAATTCTGTAGTCTAATAATTTTTATTCATCATAAGACTTAAAGCTCCGAATGGAACAGTCTCTGACAGGTTAATTAATCTGAACTAACCTGAAAATTTCAGGGTCTGATATTACATTTTGTGCTAATGTCACCGGAATTAGATTTGGACGCTCTTTTGGCCGAATTTAACTAATTCCGGATTTCTTAATTTTTATTATTATTATATTTTATTTATTTCTATTTTTATAATCTTGTTTTCTTAATTTAGTATTATTTTTATCCGTATTACATCTATTTTCGTAATACGTTTTATTTTTATTTTGTTTTTATTTTTATTTCTATTAATTATTCGTATAACGTCGTAATTTATTTAACTTTATTAAGGAAGAATCGTCTTTCC